ATAATGTAACATGACAACTCTGAAAATCAGATTATTTCCCTACCAGGTAATTTGCAGTTATTACTGTTTACCATTTATTGTTGTTTCTGTTAGTGACTTTCCTGAACTAATTATCTAAAATATTAATTATCTGTCATAAGTGGTCAGAAAAGTCTCTGCTGTTAGTTTGTGATCAGCTAATGACTGGGCAGAGATGTCCTTAATGTCTAAAACCAGTATTAAGTCCCAGTGTGTATTGACAGGCTCTCTATATGTGTTAGGGCATACCTTTCACACTCAGCCAAGCAGTTTATAACTCTTCCTTAGCCTTTACTTCTTGGTTGCACAGAGCCTAGAGATTAATCAGAACTGAGAGCTTAGGACCTTCTTAGTTCTTTCCTAAGCATGCAGCACACAGCCCTACACATGCATATAGCCTTCTAGATTCCCAGAAATATACCAGAGCTTCGTAAATTTCCTTATGAACATCTCATTTCTCAGCTTTTCCTTTTAAGCTTCTTGGTTAGCCTATTATTTGATCTAACTACTATTCACTGTCACTCAAGATGGTGGGCACCCAAGTTGTTCAACAATTGCCTTTAATTGTTTTTGAGGAACACTCCAGGGGGGAAAGGCTGTTTATACCAAGTGAGCTTCAAGTCAGGTCAAATACAGATGGTCTTGTGAATGAGGTTTTTCAAGGAACCACCAGTAAGGTAAAATAATGACAACTCAGGGAATGGAGCTTTGAAGAAACTCCAAACTCGATCTATCCCTTCCAGTGGCTGGTTTTCACCATGATTGGACACTGTTGATTTTCAAGGGTAGTGAGAAGCTAGAGAGAAAAGGGCAAATTAAAATGCCACAAAGTTTGCTGTTTTTGCCAAGATTCAGCCATTTCTCTAGAATAAATGCTCTCAGATTGCTGCAATTGATAATTATTCCAGGTACCCTTCAGTTCTTCATATTTATTTAAATGGAGTCTGCTACATTTCTGAAACTTCTACATATAATTTTGGCTGTGATTTCTTCTCCTAGTTTTTCCATCAATTTGATCTCACTGTTTCCTAGCTTTCAGAAATCCATTAAAGTCTCATCAGCTGAAATCCACCTTTCTTTTTATTTTTTACCTTTCTTGATTTAATAGGTTTAAAAAAATATCTAACATACTTACTAACATATCCATTCAGAATCCTTTGTACTCAGAGTCCTGCTGAAGTAGACACAAATACCCAGCAGACCTACACTCAGCCAGCATCTCTTAAGGTTTCCTTTAGTGTGATCCTAAGAGAGCCTTTCAGCTCTCACAACTTAGGCAACAGCACAATTCACATTTCTGCAACCAGAAAAACTGCAGCCACCTATACCTCCCTGATGGGACTTACTGTAGACAGATAAAAAACATTACCACATTGGTCAACACCTTCCACAAATAAGTAGTGCAGCCAACTGACTCCAGTAAAGTTGATGAATTCTTCTGGCTACTTTGTTCGGGAGGCAAGACTAACATATCACAGTATTACCAACTGTAGGAATATTTATAGTAACTTTACACTTAACACTATCAGAACTTACCGAGAAAGTTGCTTTTTAAAATATATACATATATTTAGGCTCTACCAAATTCTTAATAGAACAAATACTTTATCAGAAATAGACTCTCGGCTGGGCACAGTGGTTCATGCCTGTAATTCCAGCACTTTGGTAGGCCAAGGGGGGTGGATCACCTGAGGTCAGGAGTTCAAGACCAGCCTGGCCAACATAGAGAAACCCCATCCCTACTAAAAATACAAAAATTAGTTGGGAGTGGTGGCAAGCACCTATAGTCCCAGGCAGAGGTTGTAGTAAGCCAAGATCACACCACTGCACTCCAGACTGGGCAACAATGCAAGACTCCATCTTAAGAAAAAAAAAAAAGAAATAGACTCTCTAAGAATTGTTTTTATAATTTCTAATATTAGTTCTTGACAAAAATGATCCTTTGAAGTTATCTACAAAACAACCTTTAATAAACTTTTCCCCCCACAAGCTCCTAATGAAACAGGAAGATGTGTTCCACAGGAAAAATTTCAAAACCATAGTAAAAAGTATTAAGAAGAGGTTAATCTGAATTAGCTATGTCAGGTGAGCTTAATAACAATACACAGCTCTGCTATATTCCTTCCAACACTCCTTAGATCTCGCCCCAGTTTTAGTAACTTGTCAGAAAGCATAAGAATTTTTCTGTTTGTAGTGGGTGTTAACGTGACATAAAAAAAAAAAAAGAATAAGCATATGATAAAAGAAATTTTAAAAAGTTTGAGGATCCAGACTCCAAAGAACTCAAAGACTCTAAAACTTTATCTTCATCCTTTTTAATCTGTGCAGTTAACATGTCTAAGAGAATCACAACATGAATATTCTATAAATGTGCTGCTTCCAGCTACACAAAGTTGTACCCTATTTCATCAATTCTCTCACATTCTATAGATCTATATATATATCATCTACACATCAATCCTATATATCAAACAGCTTGCTAGTGTTTGGGTAACCCTGACTATACACTATACTAACAGAACTAAGTCTTTTGAAATCTATGTCTTTAGCTGTACTGTAAAATCTAGGTTCATTTTTTAAATTAATGTTTTATTTCTCCAAATTTACAAACTCCTTCAAAAATCCATCAGAGAGGGATAATATAAGTGTTTGTGAAAGAAAAATAAATAAATATCTCATGCCTCGGATAAAAAGGAAAGAAATCTGGTCTTGAGAGAAAGTCAATTCACTAACTAGCTCCTCTTAGTTTTCCCAAATAGCAAACCATTAAAACTATTAAGATTAAGGCCCAAATAACAAGGGGTTCCTATGAGAGATTAAATAAGTTGGGCCTGTAGCTTTGATAATCTTTAGTTTTTAGTTTTTTGTTTTTTTTTTCTTTTTCACACCCAGAATGAGTAAGACTTTCCTGGAGATAATCTTTAGTTTTAAATCCAACACACTACACAAGAACTTTCCCGACAGGTCCTCAAGACAAGATATTTTCAAGCTCCTGAGCAATGTAACATTAAATGTCAATCATGTCCTGTTAGCAAATATACAGAACTCATCACAATCACAAACAGTCTCGGGAGATCCAACTGTGAGTTGATACTATTAATAGCAAACATTTATGGAATGCTTCTTATGGGTCACGCACTGTTCTAAGTACTTTTAATATATTGACTATTTTCTTTTTCTTCTTCTTTTTAATTGAGGCAGAGTCTCGCTCTGTTGCCCAAGCTGCAGTGCAGTGGCATGATCTCAGCTCACTGCAACCTCTGCCTCCCAGGTTCCAGCGATTCTCATGCCTCAGCCTTCTGAGTCACTGGGATTACAGGCGTGTGTTACCATGCCCAGCTAATATATTAACTATTTTAATCTTTCAATAAGTCTATAAAATAGGAGCTATTTGTTATTATCACCATTTTACAGATGAGAAACCTAAGGCACAGAGAGTAACTTGACCAACGTTATACACATAGTAAGTCACCAACCTGGTATTCAAGCCCAAGCAGGCTAGCTTCCAAGCTTGAGTTCTCAAACCACAGCTATGTGTCTCATAATGGAACAATGCAGACAGGACTGGTGATGTTTAAAAGCTGTCCGAGCTTAAAATGTATGATATGCCATACTATAGTCACCAAAGCTAGAATCCTTAAGCCAAGTAATGAGAACATACAAGACGACGGCTTTTCTTCTTTATCCTTTCCCATTTTCATTTTTCCTCCAGGCCTCCCAAATATGAATATGAGTTAACACAAGTGAAGTGCTTTAAATAGTGCCTGGCACATAGTAAGCACTCACTAAGTGTTAAGAGGCGGTAGAGGTAAAAATAGTAGAGTATGCCTGCTGACCCTGTTTCATTCTAACGGCTAGGATAGGCAAGGAACTGTTGATATTTCTTCCACCTTTCCCCCTTTGTGATTACAGGAAATGAACTGGGACAATACATATATGTAATCCACTATCACAAACCCTAATGACTCTTCAATCGTGTTATTTCACCTGATCATATACACATGAGCAAACTGCTTCATTCCTCAGTCCCCTTTTTTTTGGTTTACAAAGACTGGTCCGGGGCCGGAAGAAAGCAGAATAAAGCAGCTTTGTAACCTTTTGACTAGCTGCCAAGAACAGAAGCCGAGTTTGTGAAAAGCAACTGAATGGACCTAAACTTCTGACTGTTAGATGGAAACTAGCAAAGGATAGAAGCTCACCATATAACGGAGCATTTTCAACCTCATGATTTCAAAATAAGTTTTTAAAATAATGTGCCTAGACATGTTAAAGAACAGATGACAGTAATGATAATCAGAGCAATAGGACCTCCCTCTCTCAATTATTGTTCTATAGCTATTTAGGTAAAAAGCTTTACAGAATCCGGGTACATTGCAGAGAAAAAAACTAGCAAACCTAAACATTTTCTTTTTTTTTTTTTCTTTCTCTTGGTAGTGACAGGGTCTCATTATGTTGCCCAGACTGGTCTTGAATTGCTGGGCTTATGTGATCCTCCCACCTTAGCCTCCCAAAGTGCTGGGATTACAGGCATGAGCCACCACACTTGGCCCCAAACCTAACCATCTTCAATTACAAAAAAAAAAAAAAATTCAGGTTACCATATCAACTTAGTGAATGGAGACCAGCAGTTTGTTTTAAATGAAAAACAACAGCCAAGCATGGTGGCTCACGCCTACAATCCCAGCTCTTAGGGAGGCAGAGGCAGGAGGATAGTTTGAGCCCAGGAGTTTGAGACCTGCCTGGGCAATACAGCAAGACCCCGCTCTCCACAAAAAGGAAAAAAAAAAGCATAAATGAAAAACAATAAAACAAAATAGAGGCCAGGAACAGTGGCTCACACCTGTAATTCCAGCACTTTGGGAGGCTGAGGCAGGAGAATCACCTGAGCCTGGGAGTTCAAGACCAGCCTGGGCAATATGGTGAAACTCCGTCTATAAAAAATACACACACAAAAAAAATTAGTGAGGCATGGTGGCACACACCTGTAGTTCCAGCTCTTAGGAGACGAGAGAATCACCTGATCCCAGGAGGTCAAGCTGCAGTAAGCTGTGATAATGTCACTACACTGCAGCCCAGGTGATACAGGGTGAAAGCCTGTCTCAAAAAACAAACAAATAGAATAGAAAATATTAATATTACAATGCATCACCAGTAGCAAATATATTGTTTCATGAAACTTCTCTTTAAATTTCAAATATCAGTATGCACATACATGTGTCTGAGTACTGGATAACAATGTAAATGTATTTTATAGTGGGGTCATGACCAAAAAAGTTTGAAAACCACTTTACCAGAAACAAAAAGCTGGCCAGTCGAAAAAGGAAGAAAATAACCACTTCATACTACATAGGAAACAATATTCAGAGTTTGATGGTTCTCTAAATTGTAGTTTTATATAAGCAAGCCTCTGAAAGAGAACAAAAAAGATCAAGAAACCACTGAGTTATTTCCAAAAAATTTTTATTGCACAGAATGTAAGGTACCTGAAGTAAATAAATATATACTAACAGAAAATATATAGAAATGAAATAAAGCAAAAATTTTCATTTACCTAGCTATTAAATGCCCCACTAAATATGAGAGATGGCCTAATCCCTTCGCAAAGCTCTAGTTCTCACTCTCAAGAACATTATTCATTAGTGTCACCTAATTATTGCTTCTTAAGCTATAGCAGAGGAACAAGTAGTGAAAAGAAAAAGCAGATTTCAAAGCTTCTTCTTTATTTTAAATTATCACAGATGTTTCCTAAATTTGACATCTTTAAATTTAAAAGATAAAAAAAAATCAGTGATATAATAAAACACTGATTTTTATAAGACATTTAGGTACCATTTTTTTAATCCTATAATGGTCTCTAAAGTCTGAAATATTTGCCCAAAATTCATACATGTATATATTATTCTTTTGGTAAAGAGAGTGAGATTATGATATTCATATCATCAATCTACCAGGAAAAAAATTACCATCATTGTGCTAAATTCAATGTTCCTCTTATTTTGAAAAGGCGGAGGGGCACAACAGGTGAAGGTGACCTAAATCGTTTTCAAGTACTATGGAAACTAAAGAATAAAATTCAATTCCACCTGAGAGCTAATCATTCTAATGTATTCCCACAGTAATGGCGCTGATAGCAAGTACCTACCAATTTTCCCAAATTCAGTAATTGCTACAATATTAAATTTCAGGCGAAAGAAAACTATGAAATGTTTAAATACACTGATTATCAATCAGACCCACATATAAAAGAGAACTGCTTTGAATCAAAAGTCAAATGTTTAACTAAAAGTAAAGAACATTCTAAATACCAACAAGTATTATCATCATAGCAAAGCTTACTCTGTTCAGCTCCATAACAATACTTTTCCCACCAAGCGGAAAAAGACAAAAGCTACTATAAAAAACAGTATACTTAATGTCTTAATTAATAAGAAAAGTTAACATATGAGAATTGAAATTAGCATTCCTAATCATATGTCACTTCTTACTAGAAATAATTATACCTTTTCTGTGAACCAGATTCTATGATTTGCAACTGTTTTTAAAATATTCAGAAAAATAATATCATTATCTAAGTACAAGACTCCTGCATTAAGGTGCACCTCAACTTATATAAAATAATCTCTTTCCCTCAGCTGATTAAAAATTTTTTTTAAGGCCGGGCGTGGTGGCTCAAGCCTGTAATCCCAGCACTTTGGGAGGCCGAGGCGGGTGGATCACAAGGTCAAGAGATCAAGACCATCCTGGTCAACATGGTGAAACCCCGTCTCTACTAAAGCTACAAAAAAAAATTAGCTGGGCATGGTGGCGCGTGCCTGTAATCCCAGCTACT